ATTATTCAGGGTGGTATACAATAAATTACACAGATTAAATTAAAAAATAAAATATCTGAAGTCTTATTTGCTCCACCACTTTTATACTTGAACACTGTTTAGGGTAAAACTCTCTCACAGTTCTAGAGTCTGGTGGTGGAAATACTATGTTACAACACTAGCTAAAACTCTCACAGTTCAAAGAGTTCTCACTAGTTCAATTTTCTTTTTTTGTCTCAAACAAAACAATCACGTCATGAGTGAACCAAAATACATTCAAAAGAAAAGTATAAATTTTATAAACATTCTAGAAGATTTTAAAGACTGACTACACATGCATTTAATAATGACCGGATTGGCGGAAGAGTCATCAGTTATGCAGATGACACAACCTTGCTCGCTGAAACTGAGGAGGACCTGAAATGCTTGCTGCAAAAAGTCAAGAACTGTAGTCTTAAATATGGATTGAAGCTCGACATCAAGAAAACAAAGATTCTCACCACTGGGACAATTGGCAGTTCCATGATGGATAGAGAAGAGACTGAGGTTGTCAACAGTTACAGCTTGCTCGGCTTCACAATCAACACTGTTGGCACCAGCAGTCAAGAAGTTAAAAGTTGAATTGCATTAGAAAAATCTGTTGTCATGGATGTCTCCATAGTGCTGAAGGATCAACAATGTCAGTCTAGAGACTAAGGTGAGTCTAATCCAGGCTACGGTCATAACTTTTACTTGCTATACATCAGAGAGCTGGACAGTGACTAAGGATGACAGAAGAAGAATCAATGCCTTTTATAGCTGGGGAAGAGTACTGACCATACCACAGATTGCCAAGAGAATAAGTCTGTCCTGGAGAGGGTAAAACCAAGTTGCTCCTTGAAGGCAAGGATGTTGCCAGGAGTGACTAGTCCTTAAAGAATGACATCATACTTGGAAGGGTGGAGGAACAGTGCAGGAGAAGACCCAGAAGAGATGGATTGATACAATAACTAGGGCAATGGGGGGGTAGGTGTGTCAGAGTCAGTGAGACTGGCTCAGGACAGGGCAGGCTTCAGCGCTCTTCTACAGAGGGTCACTATGAGTCCTAGGTGACTTGACAGCACATAACAACACATACATTGTAATAAAAAAAACAGCACATCTCAAATTCATTGCTGTTGAGTTGATTTCAACTCACAGAGGTCCTACAGGGCAGACCTGCATGGACCCACAGGGTTTCTGACCTGCAAACTGTCGTAGCTTTCTCTTGCTGATGGATTCAAACTGCCAAACTTTTGGTTAGCAAGTGAGTGTTTTAACTACTGCATCACTGCTCTTACATATACAATTTAGGGCCCAAAACATTCAGACATTTTCAACAAAGGTTGATGAAAAGAAAAATTTAGAAAGGGGAGAAACACAACATTTAAATACATTACGTTCCTGTAGATTTTTAGATGAGCAAGATTTTGACTTTTACTTTAAGAACTAGTGTTTAAAAAGCTAAAAAAAAAAATCACCAAAAATTACAGTGATATGTGCCTTCTAATCTAAAAAGGAAAAATAAAAACAAATCAATGTGAATAGGAACATAAAAGTAACCAACTTCAGTCAAATTCCTAAAGACATGTTGCAACTACGTCATCCTTCTCCATTCCAAACCCTTTTCCTCTTATTCTGATTCATTTAAAAGGAAAATTAATCTTTAAAGCTTAAATGATGGTTAAATTTTTCTTCAGCAAGTTTTGCCTTTTGCATTAATTCGGCAGCACTCAAAGCAATTAAAACTGCATGCCAAACTTAAATGCCACAAGAAAAATTTGAGAAGGAAAATTAAGATAGGAATCAATTTAAAGACAGCTCAATAGATCATCAGGACACTATATCATCAGTGCAGCTGGCTTACTGTCAAAGAAACAAGCAGAGTCCTCACAAATTTTCTATTTTGATACGAAAGTTTTAATATGTAATTGCTAAAATTCATGATACTCTTAAAAATCAAGATTCTCGCACACTTAGAGCATGCATGTAAGTGAAACGGCTATTTCAAATGTTCTTTCTCCAATGCTATACAAATCTACACTCTGTTACAGAAAAACAAAAAATTAGCAACCGGAGTAATGAAATTATAATTTCTTGGTATAATTCTCTCTACTGCAAATCTAATCTACTCTCAAAAAATATATTCAAAGATATTTAAAGACTTTTGATCTCTCTTACTAATTTACAGGGAGCTCTGGTGGCCTAATGGTAAAGGAATCATGCTGCCAATGCAAAGGTACACGATGTGAATCCATCGCTGCTCTGCCGGGGAATGATAGGCAGTCGTCTCCCATGCGATTTATTGCCTCTGAAAACTCATTGGTGGGTCAGCTCTGAGTCAGTCCAAACTCAACTGTGAGTCAGACTCAGCTATGAGTCGACACAAAACAACTTCCTAATTTGCAAGGAGCCCTGATGGTGCGGTGGTCAGGCACTCAGCAGCTAATCATAAGGTTAGTGGTTTGAACACACCAGGTGACAAGCAGCTTCTGCAGATTCACAGCCTTGGAAATTCTATGCAGCAACCCTATCCCATGGTGTATGTAGGGTCACCATGTGTCAGAACAGGTTCAGTGGTCAACAAGCTTCCCAAAAGGGAAACAACAATAACTGAAATAGTGGAAACAATTCCTTGGAAAGTCTCTGAAATCTTAATTAAAACAGAACAGCAATTGATTCAAGTTTAGCAAAGTTCACTATAATGTTCTATACAACTTATTCAGTATCTTTCCCCTTATGTCATATGTATTCAATGATTCTTTTATTTCCCAAACTGTAAAAGACATCACAGGGTGTGTGACCAACACCAGTGGCTAAAAACATTTCCAAGTCACTTCTCTCAACTCCATATCAAACTTGAAATATGAAACAAATTGAGCACAAAGCAACATTCTCTAAGAGAAAAATGCTGTGGCTAATTCATTTTAAAAATAAGTAGCTGAGTCACATTAATAAAAATTTCACAAAAAGCAGAACACTTTAAAAATTACTTTTGTCACACCATCAAAGAAAATGGTCTACAAGATTTCCCAAGCAATCCATTAATGACTCCTCCAAGCCCTTCAGCTCACATAAAGCATAAAAGTTTCAATAACTAACAGCAATACCAACAATCAAATCAGTCCCTTTGTTGTTGCTTTTTTTTGTTTTGTTTTTGCTGGTGTTTTAGTTTTTTTACAAAACCCCTAAGCTCTAAACAGGGAGCTCTGGTAGCCTAGTCTTAAGGAGCTGTGCTGCCAACTGGTAGGCACTACTAGGTGTGAATCCACCAGCTGCTCTGTGGGAGAAAGATGGGCAATCTCCTCCCATGCAAAGTCACTGGAGGGTCCAGCTATGCTTGGTTCAGACTCTATAGTACCCAACAATAACACAAGTTTAAATAAAATTCACACAAACACATCCCCCCCCCAAAAAAAAATCAAAGGGGAGAAAATGTTTTAAATTTCCTCTCAAAAAGAATAGTTTCTTAGTTCTGCAATTTAAGTTTCCACTGAAAGGAGAATGGGAAATTAGCAATGATAAGAATGAGAAGTGCTAGTTCTCATGAGAAGGATGCAAGAATTTTAGCACACAGGCTTGGCCTACAGACAGCAGGCTCAGACTGCAAAGACTCAGTCTCAGTCTGTCTGTCTCTCTCTCACACACACAAACTAATTTTCAAGGAGAAGACGCTTTCATGCAATGTCATATAATGGAAGTTTTAGGAGCTCTGGTGGCCTAGTGGTAAGAAACTGCACTGCAATCCCAAAGGCATGTAGTTCGAATCCACCAGCTTCTGTGCGTGAGAAGAGTGGGCAATTCCCACCCTTTCAATTAACAGCCATTGCAGCTAAGGCCAGCTACGGGTTAATGGGTTAATTCCTACTGGATGGTACTCAACAACAACATTTATCCTAAGGAAAACCCTAGACATCCCACTGTAAACTACAACCTAGAATCCCTTTTCTCAACTCAAGAGTTTAACAACGCCCGTAAGAGACAGGGCATGTACCCTGGGCACCCGCAGGCCTGCCACTTGTCACATGGAAGGACGGGCAGCCCATGTGAATGGGAGTGCCAGCACGTCCGTTTATGTGACAGATCCAGTGGGAGCATCCGACTGTGATCCACGGCCCTCCAGGGCCAAGGCTGCTGGAAGAGGAACCTAAATGCAATCTTCTGGGCCCTCCTACTTCCGTTCTCAAAACAGAAATGCAGTGTCTCCTCGTCCTCACCTCTCAAAGTGCTTAAGAGGAAAGAAAAGCAAAGAGTAAAGGGCCAGGGTCGCTGGCAGGCGGCTGGGCACAGCACCCCCACCCGCTGCTCGCGGGCCAATCCACCGCCAGCGCCTGCTGGGAACCCCTCCTGCAGGGGGCTCGCCCCCGAGCCTTCCTCCCCGAGTCCTGGCAGAGGAGAAGCGCGAAGGGGAACTAAGTGAACTGCAAGAGGGTGTCCCCGAGAGCGCCCCCACTGAGGAGGTGGGGAGGGGAGTGGAGACCCAGGAGCGGAAGGGGAAAGGATGAGCAGAGAAGAGGAAGGGGACGAGAGCGCGCGCCCGCAAAGGTTATGAGAGTCTCCGGGAGGAGGCAGAGAGGGAGGAGAGGTGGGTGGAGGCGACGTCCCTCTCCTGACCACAGCCTCGTCCCTCCGGTGCCCTCGCCGCATCGGAAGCACTGGCCACGGCCGCTCGCCCCGTCGAAAGCGCGGGCTGCGAGGACCTCGGGCCGCTCCGCTGAGCCAGCTTTCACCTCCCCGCCGCCAGGGCAGGCAGATCCGGGGAGCCGCCGGTCCAGCGCCGGGGAGCTGTGCCGATTACCTGAAGCGGGGTGAGTCCTTCAGGCACTCCTCAAAATCCACTGTCATCTTCATCCTGCCTCCGCCTCGCCTCGCAGGCGGTGCTGGAAGAGCCGAGGGAGCGGCCGCGCTGGGGACCCGGACGGCGACGGCGGGCGCACGGCCAGGACTAGTGCTGCGCGGAGCTGCGGAGGGCGCCTAGCCCGCTGGTCATAGCAGCCGCTAAGGCGGCGGCGGCAGCGGCAGCGGCTGTGAGGACTCCTCAGGCCCCAGACTGGCCCCTCTTCCTCCCGCCCCCAGCAGAGATCGGGCCTCAGGGAAACAGCCCAGGAGTGACAGCCACGGCCAACCAGCCACGAACCCGGCGGCCAATGGGAGGGGCTTCCGGCAGCACCGCCTGCGGGCGCTCTGGCAACGCTCCGGAGCGACAGTAGCCGAAACCAATGAGCAGCTTGACCGTGGACACCGCCTTGTTACAGTCGTACCCGGAACCAATCAGAATGCGCTAGCGCCGTTAGGCGGGACGCACTAGGTTGCGGGGAGGCTGGCAGCTGGAGCTCCTCGGGAAGGAAGTCACGTGGCTGCGCACAGCGCTTCCCTCGGAGCCTCCGCCTCTTCTCCCGCTTCCCCCGCCCCGCCCTGCAGAGTCGCCAGGGCAGAGGAGCTCCCGTCTGAAAATTTTTAACACAGTTTTGGCAGAACTACGAAGAAATTGGAGACAGAAATTATCAGCGATAATCTAAGCCATCGCTTAGAACTAAGAAGTTCAGGAGAGCTGGGGCCAAGAGAGCAGCGAGGCTAACTTAAATAATAAAAGCTGTCTTTAACGTATAGTTCGTTTCATTGCTTAATTAATTATCTGGAAATTGCTCCTAGGTACATCGACTCACATAAATCAGGGACTACGTCCTGAAGCAGAGCCATTAAGAATGGCTCTGAAAGATCAGAAGAATTTAGAAGAGAGATAAAGCGTTTTGTGTGGAGAAACTGCTTTCAAAACCACATAAGACATTGCTCGTACTGTTTCTCCCTGTATCTTTCACCTGTTCTAAGATAAAAAGATTATGAAGATCAGGCTTTCTATAATCTACCCTAGAACACCTGCCCTATAGTGCAAAACAATTCTTCTAGCAATGTGTTAAGATATTAACCAATTCTCAAAATACTATAAATATTGACCGACCTTACTGATTTTAGATGGTGTTGATTAGAAGAAGTACCATGTCTAAATATGTTTAGATGTATACTTTTAAGCCAACCTAAAAAGCATTAGCCTAGCCATAAAATATGCATAAGCAGGGTATTCTAACAGCATAATGACTCTGAGAGTCAAGACGAAGACTTCTTCCAAACAGTAAAATAAATATAACACCACTGATCTCATAGCTGTCTTGAGGCTAAAGTAGATAAGACCTATAAAGGCACTTAAAGCAGTGCCACATAGTAATCATTCAATAAATGTTGGTTATTATCATAATTGTACTGCTTTCTTCTTTAGAGTCATAATCTAACAGTAATTCTAAGTTTTCTCATTTACACTTTTATTAACCCTTTTAACCCTCTGGCTAAGAATAGTATCATGGTAGTTTGCTGGTTTTTTATAACCAGTAGTTATATTTAGATCTCTTTAGACACTAATAGTATCATTTTGAAAGATTTCAAAGACTATTCAAGAGTGTAAGTGTTGACATATTTCATCTTTGATTATACACATGGTTTCCTTTTTACATAGAATTCGATCCCATATCCCCGGAATCTCTTTTTTTCCTAGCTAGAAGATATTGACTGATAAACATTCAGTGATCTGAATGCACATCAGTTAGTCTGGTCAACCTCTTCTGGATTTGTAACCTCGGCATCATATTTACCAGGAGAGTTGGCAATTTTTACATTTATTTGCATTCCTAATGGATGATAATGAACAATGAATCTGTGTACATTATGTTACTGTTTCAATGTTTCATCACATTGTATCCTATTTTAGAAGATATCTAAGTGACACATGGTGGTTCAAATTAAAATATAACTACATAGTCAACCATCAATGCAAATAATTTAACTCTCAGAAGAGGGCGATCTGGTGGTTTTGTGGTAAGGTATTGCTCTGCCAAATCAAAGGCACACAGTTTGAATCCACCACCTGTTCCATGGGATAAACAGAGGGAATCTCCCATTTACTGCCACTGAAAGCCTCCTGCGATGCCAGTTCCAAAATTTACATATGCCTTGTTAGTGGTAACAGCATCACAATATCTGTCCTCAATCTATGGTAAAGAATGCATTTGGGATGTCAGTTGTAAATCAAGAAACATTGAAAGTACAGTGAGTGGAAGGCAGTGGGTCTTAGGATAGAATAAATACAACATTATTATGACGTTGTAATAATGGAAACCAAATTTCCCACTTAAAAAAATAGCTAGTCAGACACAAGTCCCATAACTCTAGACTCTAACAACAAACTGGCTCCTTTCTCCTTAAAAATTCCAGCATTTACAGTGGCAGTTCTATGTGCCTGTATAGCATTCCCCTGTCACCTTCTTTTTAAAAATTCAACTTACACGCTATCTCATTAAGTAAGCCTTCTCTGTTTGCTAAAGTACAGATCTCTATTGATATCACATGCAAGCAAGATTCTGCAGATTATCCAAAAACGACTGGAACAGCACATCAACGGAGAACTGCCAGAAGTCCAGGTTGGGTTTAGAAGGGGTCGTGGTACTAGGGATATTGTAGCTAAAATTAAATGGATCTTGGCTGAAAGCAGGGAATACCAGAAGAATGTCTATCTGTGTTTCATTGATTATGCAAACACATTTGACTGTGTGGATCATAACAAACTGTGGCCGACTCTGAGAAGAATGGAAATCCCAGAACTATTGATTGTGCTAATGCGAAACCTATACTTGGACTGAGAGGCAGTCATCAGAACAGAGCAAAGAAACTGCATGGTTCAAAATTGGGAAGGGTGTAGCCAGGGATGTGTCTTATCTCCATCTCTTTTCAACTTATATGCAGAACAGATAATTCAGAAGGCAGGGCTGTATGAGGAGAAGTGTGTCATCAGGATTGGTGGAAGATCCATCAATAATCTGCATTATGCAGATTACACAACCCTGTTTGCTGAAACTGAGGAAGACCTGAAACACTTGCTGCAGAGAGTCAAGGACTGCAGCCTTCAATATGGATTAAGGCTCAATGTCAAGAAGACAAAGATTCTCACCACTGGACCAATTGGCAGCATCAGGATGGATGGTGAAAAGATTAAGATTGTTCACAGCTTTAGTTTGCTTGGCTCCACAGTCAACACTCTTGGCACCAGCAGCCAGGAAACTAAAAGACGTACTGCAATGGGAAAGCCTGCTGTTAGGGACCTCTCTAGAGTACTGAGGAGCAATGGTGTCATTCTGGAGACTAAGGTGTGCATGATAGATCACTTGCTATGCATCATAGAGTTGGACAATGACTAGGGAGGATAGAAGGAGAGTTGATGCCTTTGACCTGTGGTGCTGGAGAAGAGTACTGAATGTACCATGGACTGCTAAGAAAATGAACAGTTTCATCCCAGAGAGGGTTAAACTAGGCTGCTCCTTGGAGGCAAGGATTCTGAGGCTTTGTCTGACATACTTTGGACATGTTACAAGGAGAGGTCCTGGAAGAGGGATATCATGCTTGGGAGGGTAGAGGGACAATGCAGGATGGGAAGACTCTCTATGATGTGGATTGATTCAATGACTGGGGTAATCGATATGGGTGTATCGGAGACAGTGAGACTGGCACAGGACAGAGCAGAGTTTAGGGCTGTTGTACATAGGGTCGCTATGTGTCACAAGCAACTTGACAGCACATAGCAACAAAACAACAGTGTTAAAAATTAAGTTAGTATCACCTTGAGCATGCCTAAGATCAAACTCAATTTTTTTGTCAGATCATACAGGTATTGTACATTGAAATTGGCTCCCTTTTTGTGGGGTTTTTTTTTTAACTGGTTTGCTTCCAAAGTTCAGTATACATTTCATTTCACACTATTCTTCATTCACACTGTGTTTCATACAATCATTCTCATGCAACATATTTCATAAAATCAATCAACATTGTGGGAGGAGGATGGACAGTCTCCTCATGTGTGATTTATAGCCTCAGAAAACCCACAGGAACCTCAACTATGAGTTGATTCTGACTCGACGGCATATAACAACAGCCTTTCAGAAATAGGAAGCTTCACTTTAAAATCTCAAAACTTGGCTTCTCTTGTGAAACTTAAAGACCTGTTGTGACAAAACCCCAACCAGAGTAGAGCAGTGCACAGAGGAGAAAACAACAACACAAAAAACAAACAAACAAACAAACAAATAAACAAACAAACAAACAAAAAAAACACCAAACCAAACCCTTTGCTGTTGAGTTGGTTCTGACGCCGTGACCCCATATTTTACAGAGTAGAACTATTCCACAGAGATTTTCTTGGCTGTGGTCCTGGAGAAGGCAGGTTGACAGGACTTTCTTTGATAAAGCCAATAAGTGAGTTTGAAGGCCAGCCTCTAGTACCATGCAGAGGTCTCTGAAAAGTACATGGTCACAAATACTCCCTGACACCACCACCCACCCCAGCCCTCCAAGCTGCCTCTACTTGGTTGTTTTCTCAGTTACTTTACCCACTTGCTCCATGAAGCCAACTGATACCAACTTGTAGAAGGAACCACTAGTGATGATTTCCCCCAGGCTCACAAAAGAGAACCCATAATGGATCAGAGGCAACTTGGCAGGGTAGGAAGGGGAGGAAGGAATGATAGGATACAGGGCCAAGAGAGAGAAGCCCATTCCCAGAGATGCCTCACTTCCTGTGCTGCACAGTTCCAGTCCCTGCCCAAGGTTATTCTCAAAACTGCTCCCCTTTCATGAGATAATTTGAATACAATTAGCCAGGCTATGGGTAGGGAGTTCCTAAGAAATTGGCAGATAACAGCAAAGAGAAAAAGAAGATAGTAGTAGAATAGCTACATGGTATAAACTTCAAGGAGAAATTCTTGCACAATGGTGGAAGAATTGTATCATATTATCTGTCAACTGTGACCAAGAATGTGGGTCTTGAAGACTTGGCTCAGGAATTAATGAACAAGCTGGGCTCAAGAAGATGTCTGATCAAAATCATCCTCGCAGAACATCAGCAGCAGCATTCTAGGAAGGGCTCTGCATGTCCAGGGCTCCAGAGGGTATGGAGCGACCAAAGTCTGGAAGA